GCTCGATGCCAAAGGATGTCACACAATGTTAGGGAAACTAGAAAATGGATAACAAAGAAAAAACGAAGGGGTACCCAAGTATTACTTGAAGCTGCTTTTAGGTTTGGGAGTTGGGATTAGCATTTTGTGGATGGACATCTCCCGAGCGATTTAGAAAACAGAGAGGGGGAAGAAGTAGTAGTAGTAGAAGAAGAAGAAGAAGAAGAAGAAGAAGAAGAAGAAGAAGAAGAAGAAGAAGAAGAAGAAGAAGAAGAAATACAACAACAACAAACCACTAACACTACAAAAAAAGAAGAATACAAATATAAACATTGAGACAAAAGGAAAACAAGTAAAAGGAAAAAAAATTAAGATACAAACAAATATGAAGAAAGATAAAACGGAATTTTTAAAAAAGAGGGCTGGAGCCACCATCTGCTTCCATTTCTATGTCTCCATCCTCAAACAAAGTGCTGTGCACTTCACTTACTACTTCTTGACTGCTTTTCTGATTTTCCATCTTTCTTGGCTTATCTGTCCATCATATGCATCCTAGTCAGGGTTGTACTTGTGGCTCCTTCTTCCCTGGATTTCTGGTGCAGTGATTGAGGGGGAGGGGCCAGTCACCTGGATTAGTCTGATAGGGCTGGTTTCTGACCCTGAATTCCAGTCTGAATGGGATATTTCCATACAAATAGTTCGGCCTGAACACTGTGTGTGTGCCTTTTTCTTGGTCGTATTGTATTCCTGATGCTCCTGTTGATCTCTGGGCCACACTTCTTCCGAACTTCACCATGCTAGAGTGGTAGAGGAAGAGAGGGGCATAGACTCAGAGGCCTCACACCAGCCATGCTGTTGTGGATGGTGGAGGGAAAAAAGTGTATAAAATCACTCTCCTCTCACTGACGTGTTCTCCACGGTAATAGAGCTAATTTTCTCAGCCTTTTAAGAAAAATAAATATTTATAAACTTCCTGAGTGGGACATAAATTTACTTACTTATGTTTTTTTTCTATTTTTGCATCAGACTTTCACATAAATCTGATATGCAAATAAAGTATTTTGATTACATATGTATGCAAATTAAATATTTTTCTCTACTTCTGTTGAAGTAAAAGTCTAATAACTTACTGCCATATATTTTTGCTTAGACTCCTCGTTCAGTATGCAGTGAGAGTTGCAGTTCCGGATTTAGAAAAAGCCCTCAAGAGAGAAAGGCTGCCTGTTGTTTTGATTGCATCTCTTTCCAAGAGAATGAGATCGCCAATGACTCAAGTAAGAGCATGTCGTGTGGACACACTCTCACTCTATTTTTCATTCAGTCCATCTCTCCAGGAAATTAGAGAAAATCTTGTATATGATGCTGATAGTAAATTTCTTCCTGCACTTCTCAAATTATTTGCCATATTGAGTGTTATAGCCTCATAGCAAAGCTATGCCTGGAAAACACATTTTCCCCTTTGAAATATATTCTAATTCATTTTCCTTTTCATTCATCCTTAAGAATTTATGGGGGCTGGGGAGATGGCTCAGTGGAATAAGCGCTTCCCTGGCAAGTGCAAGGGCCTGAGTTCAATCCCTGGTTCCGAAAAAAATAAATAAATAAATAAATAAGAATTTATGTTTGTTCTTTACAAACTTTGGAACCTCAACAGGATTATACCCAACAAGAGTCAGGTATATTCATTTTCTAGTGGCTGACACTATTATTCACACAAAGCAGATGGCCACGACATTGAGCTTTATTAGAGAAAGAAAGATGGTTTTGCTGTGCAACATGATTATAACACAGCACAAACCAATTTCAACCATTTTACTACCCAATCCCCTGGACTGCTCTATTGTATATTATATGTACCACTATGGAAATTTTGTACATTCTTATAAATGATGATATGGTGGAATCACCTTCCTATTGAACATTTTCAGGTTTGGTTTTGGGGCTAATTCAAACTTTAATGTCAAAACACATTTAGCATTATTTCAAATGTTGGCTGAAATGCATCAAGGCAAATTATGTACTGATTCATGTGATTATGTGAATATATACTCACCACAGAACTATGGGAATAGCAAACTTTTCTAAAACTCTTATATATGCCCTCATAGATAACAAGGCACCCACTAATCAGTGAGTACACGCTTCCAGTATGTATAATTCTCTATAATATACAGTATATAGCACCGTTCAAAGCACAAATTATAAACCATCTATTATTGAATATCCTGTGAGTTGAAGCACAAACTATACCGAGACAAATATCCATTTTATATTACACACGCTTTTGTGCTGCTTTGTACTTAAATTTTTAAACACTTTAATTTTACTTTTAAAATTTTAATCAAATGCTACAAAAAGTAGTGCAAATTAAAAATGAAAAAAAGAATGATAAGATACTGTCTGAAAGGAATGTATAAGAATTTCAGATAGAAAATTAACACAAAATTAACTGTCATTCTGTTAGCAAAATGTAACAACTCTTAATAGAGCTGATCAAAGAGAAAGTGAAATATTTGAAGCCCGTATAATAATAAAGAAATTTGTATATTAGTACAGCTTTGTAGAAAAAATTTCATATGAAAATATAAGTAATTTCATAGAAATTAATAACTGGAAATCTATGAAATCTTAGAAAAACAAGGATCAGAGAAAATTTAAGAACTTCCATATTAGCAATATCTCCACAGTATCATTTCTAGAGTCCATATTGTAATATTTCACTCCAAGGTTTTGAGAACTAATATTATGACCAGTGAAAGCAATAAACATTCAAATCATTCAAGCTTTCCTCATTCTCTCACAAACGGAAAAGACAAAAATCAGTTCATTTTATGAAAGAAACTAATTTAAGCCTTTTACATCTCAGCAACACTACCAATCCAATGGATAGCCCACTACTATTACGGAATATTGGATTATATTGGATTGTTTTGCAGAATTCATGCATCTACACTATTTAAATGGCAACAGAATAATCACCTTTGACAAAACTAAACCAAAAAGGGGAATATAAATGAAAGAACATTTTGTAGCGAAAA